ATGTATGATAAAACCACTGTCTTGCAATTCAGTGATCTGTTTCCTCAGCTCCTCTATCTCAACGTGGCTCATGCGGTAAGGAGCAACTGAAATAGGCTGGGTGCTTGGCTGTAGATCTATGGTGAACTCGACTTCCCTATCCATTAGCAGTCCGGGTAGTTTATCCGGAAACACATCTGAAAAGTCACGGACTACTAGAATCTCTTGAATACAATTCTCTTTCTTGGGTTTGCCTAGTTAGATAAAACAGCAAGGTTAAGGTACTCGACAAATAAGAAAACTTGCCATCAAAGAATGAGTATTAAATGATTTTATTAATTTGTAAATGGCTCCTCATTAGAAGGATTGAATACAACCTTCTTACTAAAATAATCTACGGTGGCATGATACACCGCTAGTCAATTCATCCCTAAAATTATATCAAAATTTCTCGTGTCTAATTCTATTAGGTCTACACTCTGTTTTCTATTTGCTATCTCTACGGCACAAGCCCTGTAGACAACTTCTCCCAATAGTGTTACACTCCCAACAGTAGACACAAATAATATTGAATCAAGTTTATCAGGTAATACATTCAATTTTAATGCAAAAACAGTTAAAATAAATAAATGCGATACACCAGTGTTAATCAAAACATGAGTAAGATAGTTACAGATAGTGTACATACTCTGTACCACGTTTAGGTCAGCTTCGGCATCCTGTTGGGTGAGGTTATAAGCTCTGCCCTGAATAGGGGGTCTGCCCTGATTCTGGTTCCTTGGGCACTCTCTCGCATAATGTTGGGCACTACCACATATGCGACAGGTGTTGTTGAGGCTGTAGCATGGTCGGTCCCCGTGATCCTTGCCGCAATGCTGACAGATCTTACCACGTCCTACCACTGGAGCCTGAGGGGGGAGCTTGGATCACCAGCCTGTGCCTCTTGTTCTGTTGGACAGATACAGTAGGTGCTAGTCTACGGGGTGGAGCTGAAGGTCTGAGGTTCCCTGCTGCCTGAGAGAGGGTGTGGAAGCTCCTCTCCACCAGCTGTGCCTTAGACAGAACGGCCGAATAGGTCTTGAGCTACAATACGAACAAATGCTGTCTGATCTTTAGGCAAATGCCCCACTGAAATCTCATAGCCTTCCTGCCCTCATCCAACAGCGTCTCAGGGGAGTATCGGCCCAA